TCAAATATCGCATAGCGATCAAACTTAACGCATTCTATGCCCAGATGAAATTGCACCAGCAAGTACACAGGCTCAAGTGGTTTCATGCGGAATACCTGATGGGGCAGCGATTGTTCAAACAGCAAACAGTTGCCTGGAACAGCAAAGACCTTTTGAGAATATATGCCAGAGAGGTATTCATCCCATTTGTTCTAAGCCAGTGCAAATCTGCAACCCGACCTGGCCTGGTGTGGAATCGATACGTATCTGTTAGTCATGAAGAGCATGACACCAGAAATACCACGTGTTGGCACCTCAGTTACGCTTTCTGGATATTAGTAAAAAAAAAAACAAGGCAGAAGTTTTCAATTTCCGTGCAGATCGTACAAGGCGTGGTGTGTAGGGGGATTGATTCCGGAGGTTTGCTTTTCTTTGCAAATACTTTCTTTCGAGCTGTATTAATGTCACTACAGGTACATGAGCAGTGGCTATGTCATGTGCAGGAATGACACGCAAGATACAGCTCGAAAGAAACTATTTACAAAGAAGAGCATTCATCTGGAATCAATCCGCCCCTACACAGCACGCCCTGGAGCAGCATGTTAGGCATTCAGTGTACAAAAGGACGTAATGCTGAGGCAAGTTAATGTATTGTATGCTGGGTGAGAAGGGTTGGCAAAAACGGATGGTCAGTTAAAACTCATTTGGACAACAAAACCAAGAGCCAAAAAAGAGCGGCAATGAACGTATCTGATGTCTTATGCACAGAAGATTGTACTGATCGCTGCAGGTGTAAGAAGTCTGCATTTCACTTTGTTATTTTGATTGGGAATGTAACAAATACAAAAATGTTCAGTGACGGTAACTGTGTCCTTTTACCAACTGCTCAGTGTTTTATAGATGGTTTAACTTCAATCCTACACATGTTGTGCTAATTGATGATAGTTTATGTAAGCTTGTCTATGGAGGCTATCTTGGATCACTATTTTTTTCCCCACATATTCAATAGAGCCACGTGATTTCTAGACCCCTATAACATGGTATATAGGCGTTAGAACTGTGCTGATATCTTTACCACTAAAGAGATATTGCGTAAAATAGCTGTAAATGGTGGCCATATTGGATTTCAAGATTGCAGTCATGTGTGACATAAAGTTTCTGACACCATCAAATCCCTAAAACATGATATATAGGCGTTGGTACTGTACTGATGTCTTTGACTTTACTACTAAAGAGATATTGAGTAAAATAGCTTTAAATGAAATTGGATTTCAAGATGACTGCCATATAGTTTGTGATGATATTTGATCCCAAGAGCCGTAAAAATGGTATAGGCGATTGAACTGTTTTACTAGAACAAGGCATGTATTTTAAAGTCCAAAGTCCATCCCCTTTAAAGACTGTAAAATCCTAGTTTTCAGGTCAAAAGTATCACAGAATACTTAATAACTACTTGCTCAAAACTGATTAATCATTTACCATAGGGCCTATTTATTTCTTCAAATGTATTTCGTTCATTCGTCTGATATGACACCTTTAAAGGGATGGTAAAATTTTTTTATAAATTTTTAAGTGTATCGGGAACACTAATAACATCAATTTGCACCATTCCATTTCTGCTATACCACAAAAAGAAGTTTGATGACGTCACTAATCGTAAAAGTATGCTTTATCTCACAAAACCCTCCTCGATTAGTGACGTCATTAAACACTAGTTTTAGTGGAATTGCAGAAACCACAGACGTCTGATTGAAAATTGGAATGGTGCAAATTTCTTTACAATCCCTTTAATGACTCTATTATGAACAAGCTGAGTATATAATAATAATATAAAGGTTGTACAAGTATTTTATTAGCTGGGGAAGGTATATTTCAGCAGTGAATAATGCCTCATCGGACATGGGTTGAACAGTACAGCTTAAAATAATGATAATTAGGCCTGATCATATTAAGGAGGCTATATATTGGCGTTTATGCATGCTATACATGTACTAATGCATCCTTGCTTTTTAGGATTGCAGTTAATAATCAAATAAATATCAGCTGGTCAAAACTTATCATACAACCTTCAGAAGAACTAGAAATGTAATAAATCGCATAATTCCTTAAAAAATGCCTCAAACTAGGAATTCCACTTTCCATTTCTATATTTTATCTTTATATTTATGTCAGAGTCTGGAGAAAGTCTTTTCAACTTTCAAACGCGAATAATTCTGGAAATACACGGATTTCAAGCTACAAGTAGATAAGCTTATCTAACAAATTCCCGTTTCGGAGGTACGATTGATATAAGTATGTGCATCGCTCTAGTAAAAGAAATTCAAAAAAGTTTGTTCAGTTTCCAGTTGAGTCTTAGTTTTGTAGTTGAGTCTTAGTTTTATATTCCGATGGATCTTAGTTTTATATTATAGTCCTATCGGTCTTAGTTTTATGTTTGGGTCCTCTTTTATATTTGAGTGTTAGTTTTATTGTTCTGTCTTCAATTGTCAAGGTTATATTGAATATCATATAGCAGATCTGAATGCAAGTTTTCGGGCATGACTCTCATAACTAGGTTAGAAATGCGGACAATCTCAGACATTTCGTCACCCTGGCTCCGCCACTGATAGTGAGTGGTATGCCGTTGGTTTCCAGGTATTCTGTCATTAGCTTACGAACAGATTTCAGTTCAGTACATTGAATGAGGACATGCGACCTTCTGGCCGCATCGACATTTAATGGTGTTGATCAGGTGGTCTCGTAGTACGTTGTTGGTCCGGAGTCTGGTTACCAGTTTGCAGATGGCTACAGATGTATGGGTTAGTTTGGTTTGGTTTGTTATCTTCGGATCAATCTAATATCTAGCAGTGTTGAGGTTCCGTAGCATGTCAGTCCATTTCTTGTTGATCCTAGAAGATACGATAGGCCTTATACTGCAGAATTCCGCATAGGAGTAGGTCTGGGATACACAAACCGTAACCTATTGCTGTAGGCCTACTACAGCTTTTTGAACCATCGGTGTAGATCTTCAAATAGTCGGAGTACATGGAATCAATAATTAATATCAAGACGCTCTTGTTCCTTCTGGGTTAACGTGCTTGTTGGTAGGCCTACTCTGGATGAGCTGGGTGTTAACTGTCGGGTTGGTAACCTTCCAAAACTGAGTAGCCGACACGAATAAATCTTCTGATGGTATACGTTGGACTGCTTTCGGGCAAATAGGCTACTGGATTTTCCCGCAGAATTTGAGAGAGAGTTCAAATTCCAACTGTCGTCTGCTAGAATATTTTCCGAACGAAATCAATGGGGGCCATATTCATGTTATTTCAATGACTTTTAGCAATGAATTACGTTTTAGGACTAGGCTACTTATTTTAAGTTTGTCAGTCACTTTTTTTTTTAAATCATTGTTCTTTGAAGGAATTGTCATAGTTATAGTAGCCTAGTTATCCATATAACGTGTTTTTCTTGACTTTGCCTATTTATAGACCAACATTGTTTACGAAAATATGAAATATGGGTGTGGGATTCACAAAAAAAAAATCGAAAAAATTAACAAACCAATTTTAACTAGAACTGTTCTAATAACAGTACTGATGCTGGGCGTGTTACGACATTCAGGTACATACGAAGATAGTCTATTGCAATTACATTGATGTAAATACTTTTCTGCATCTCTAAATTCAAATATCCAAAAGTGCCTAGAGTTTAAAGTATATTGACTAGGAATAAAAGAATGTTTGTCAATTAATAAAGACCAAGTTTGATGAAATCCGGATAAGAAATAAGAAAGTTGATAATGCGCATGCGCACATCAAAAATCCAATATTTCCATCAAATTTAGGTTTATAGACATACATGCCATGTTTGATGAAAATCGGATAAGAAATAAGAAAGTTGGTAAATTAAGTGGAGGTATCCCTTTAATGTGCTTCTGTAAGCTAAACTTACAGTATTGATAAGTTCAATCCACCCTAGAGCTTATTTATATACCGCAACTGGACATAAAACATTACATGGACATTTTATGATTGGTTAAAACTCTTAATTATATGCAATAAGAACATAATGCTATGATTAAGAATACATGATAGTTCATTAGAAACATCAATTAATCAAATAGTTTGCTTAATTTGACACTAAAAATTAAGGAAATCCATCTTTAATAGGCAGATAATAATTCTAAGAATACTATGTGGAATTCCCTTAGATTTGATGGATATGGTCACGTGACTACCAACATCTAATGAACAAACAGTATTTTGGAGAAGGCGTCAACAAACCAGGAAATAATACTGAAAGTGAAAGTAGAAGTAGAAGTAGACATTTCCAATGCAGCCTACCCTAGACTTCACTTCTTCGTCGTTCGAAATGATGGACAAATGAAGAGACTTTAATTAGAGTGGATACTGTCATAAATATGTGAGTGTTTCCCATTACTTAGTTAAGCTTAGGCTTCTTACAATAAACTGACATGAACAGTTTAGGCTACCGTTAATTCAACCCTTTAATTAAAGCCAAAGGGGCAGTAGGCCTATGCCTAGGCTTTGCAAAATTTTCAATATCAAAAACGTCGTAAATTTTACTTGAATTAGTTTTTTTAATAAAGCTAGCCTATGGGTGATTTCAAAGTTGGTGTTAACACCAGGTGTTTACACTAAACCCAACACTAACACCAGTTTCTACACCAACTTTGTAATCAATCAGCGGTGTTGGTGTTAACACCTGGTGTTGGTGTAACCCTATTTCAAAGTTGGTGTTGGTGTTGGTGTTGACACCGACAGGGACACCAACACTAACACCCATTTCCACACCAACTTTGTAATCAAGCTGCGGTGTTGGTGTTAAGACGTGGTGTTGGTGTAACCCCATTTCAAAGTTGGTGTTAAGTGTCAACATGCCACCATCTTAACACAGGGTGTTGAGCTAAACCGAAGCTGGTGTTTTTTCGCGTGAAATTTACAGGACTTTCTATAGGTCCAAACACCCAACCCATAGGGCTTAACACCAGATTGGTTTCAAAGTTGGTGTTGGCAGCCATGATGCTTATTGCATTCCAAGAGGTAGTGGCTGGAATTGTGAATCATAATAGACCACGGAGAGCCCAAAATCGATTTCGCAAGATAGCTGAAAGTTCTGAACCATCAAGAGACCACATGAGACTGACAGAAGATCAAGTTTGCATGGTTGCTGAGGATTTTGATGCAAGTAGACTACACGTGCACCCCAAATCCTCCCTGCATGCATCTACCAGAAGGATTGAAATGTCTTATATTGCATCGGGAGGCTATTGCAGGCAATTGGCAATAACTTTTGCAACCTCCACTGCTTCAGATTATGTCCATGAGGTGGCAGACTTCCTTTACGAAACAGCCTCCCAGCACATCAAATTTCCTAGACCAGAGCTATTTGGTGAACTCTCTTTGCCTCTTCAGGACCCAAATGGACAGAACCTTCAGGTAATTCTTTATATTGATGGGGAAATAGTCAAAATCCAACGCCCCGATCATGCAGGGGATGCCTACTATTGTGGTCGTCCTGGTAAACATTGTGACTCGGTGAACATCCAATATGTTGTAGACAAGAGGGTAGTGATACGTTATGTCGTCAGTGGTTTGTCTGGAGCAACTCATGACAGGACATTCATAGAATGGTCACGAGAATTCATGGACTTTCTGGACACTTTGCCAGAAGATGTTGTCGTACTTGGTGACCCTGCGTATAGGAATTTGCATCCTCGTATTGTAGCTACAGTTGGTGGAAGAAATTTAGCCCCAGAGGAAATACGCTACAATGATGCCTGTACGAGGATCCGCCAGGTTGTTGAGAGGAGCATTGGAGCTACCAAGTTAAAATGGTGGATGAGTCAAATGAAGGAGAATCGTTTTCCAGCAAAGAAAGGCAGACTATTTGCAGCAAAATGCATGGTTGCAATCTGTCAACTTCATAACCGATTCACTAACTACATATAAAATAAATAGACTCATGTCTTCAATTAAAATGTTTATTGTAAATAAACCTAATATAACAATAATAGAATAAACTATAAGTATTACTATTGGATAAACATGAGGACACAAATACATATGTACAAATGAACGGGATTAATTAAATAAATAAGGTGAGATGGTCACTTGCCATTCTCACACAGTCCCACACTTGGATTCGTAATTAATTGGTTTACAAATTCCTGTCATACTGACTCGTTTCGGAATATGAATGTTGGCACGACAAGATGCTTTTGTCATATGACAAGATGTGTTCATAACAATTTGTACCATTTCATTATTCTGTACACCTTTGGGATTATTAAAGTATTACTTATTCATCATTTGGAGAGCGTATGGCGGGGAGGTGGTCAAAATTGGGAACACAATTATGGAATCGTTTACAGCTACAGCTGATCACAAAACGTTTTCTCAATTGGATCGATATCTTTCTTGCTAGGGGCTTTCAGTGTTGGCAATAAGTTCTTTGTCTACCATCCTTGTCTGGATGTTATGTGTGACAAAATATCCTCCTTTCAACATTTCTAAATCAACGGCAATCCGTTCAAGTGATTTGGACTGCAGTGCTATGTTGTCTGCAATGGTTTTTAGTGTGTTATTCTGCTCACGCACAGGGTCCAGATAAGTCTGTTGGAATGAGTTGGAAAGGAACTGCTCTTCCTTTGTGCCCGTCCTTTGTCTTCTTTGCCTTGCTAGCTGATGTTTGAGAGGATGTGCAGGCAGATCCAATAGAAAGACAAGGGCATAGTGATCGGCTTGGTCCTGGAAAAGTGTCGCTATGAGATTCATCATCCTCATCTTCAATTCCATCCAAGTGTCTCTTTTTTGACTCTCCAAGTTTAGGAATTTAGTTGCAGTAACTATAACATGTGGCTTCACAGCCCCACCCACAGGAAAAAACAAATGATAGTATTCCTCATACATACCATAGAGGGCATGCGAATTCCTCAAGTCCGGTTCATCTGTTTCAGCCCCAGATGCTGACAGTTTTGTCTGAATTGCTCTGTACTCACGCCCTAAGTTTTTCAGAAAATCTTTTATAACTTGTTGTCCTCTTCCACCCACAATTTTGGCAACTTCATCATAAACTTCAAAATGTTTATTTTTTTCTTTCGGAGGAAAGCAAAGTCCCAGTTTGTTATCGAAATGTCAATTCTTTTTTTTTTCGTTTCGTCCACACCTTCCTGTGCTTAGTCTGCAGTAGTTGCAGCAACGTTTCAAATTTCATAGACCTTCTATATAGGCGACGATGTGCATAAATATAAATTAGAACATTTTTGCAAAACCGAAAGTGCCACAGTTCAACATGTGTAAAAAGTCGAAAATCGGCTCTAGAAGGTGTATTTTTGCATCGATTTTCTTCGGGTTTTTTCATTTTTACAATCTACCTGTAATTTCTGACCTGATAGCACTTGAAAAATTACGAAATTCGAAAATTCGTCGCTCACTTTTTTCGATCCAATTTTTCAATTTTTGTGCAACTTTTTTGTTTTTGCATCGATTGATCTGAAATTAACATGCAAAGGGGCATCACTAAAGTAAATAATATGTAGTTGTCAAATATTTAACTTTACTTCCGGTTTTAAACGGGGAATCAATTGAAAGTACAATCCACTTCCGGTCGAATTGAAATAGGTCAACGAAATTTATGCAGATCGTAAATGCTATTATCAAAAAACAAAGAAAAAAAAATCCACACCGGAAGTGATACAAAGTCCCACTCTGTGCCACGTGTGGCTCTAGTTCTGTTTGTTTTTGATATCAAACAGTCATACTGTGACATAAGTTGGACAGAAGGCTGCATTGCCCAGAAGAAGATTGATGCCAGATTCTGACAGATATCCTTATAGTTTACAGTTATGTGACACAATAGTGCAAAATATCAAGTTTTTAAAAGTGCTAGCAATAAATAAATAAGCAAGATCACTTATTATATGTGTCCGATGCTAGTAACATGAAAATGACTCATCTAGGGCAAAACATACCGTAAACGTTTAAAGGTATTATCTAAATGCCCCAAAATAATGAGAACCTAATATTTTCCTGCATGGTATGACACTGAAATTCAAATTTAAAAACAGTTGTATGTACTTGCAAGCCCCAATAATTATCTGTCTACCAATTTGAACTAATTTTCAAATATCTACCCATTGATTTTGTAAGGAAAAGTCAGTACCGGTCAAAATCTGTGTCTTCACTTAGTTGCAATTCTCTTTCCGTCCTCCACTCTTGACGTACAACACATAAATTGCTACACTGCAAAGTTATTTCTAAATTACTACATATTTGAGAGACGGACCCCCATGCAGCTAAAAATTGTGCAATTTTGACAACTAATCTCTAACGCCCAGACTTTCGTCGCACCAGGCGTAAACAAAGTAGGTCTAAATGATAGAGGCAAGTCTTCCCTGGTAACTAAGCTAGTTTTATCATTAAAGGGATTGTAAAGATGTTTTCTAAACGTTTTAAACTGACTTGCCCGAAGATGAAACTACCAAATTCCGTCAATCTAGGGAAGCCCATTGGATTGAGACGTTGAATACAGCAAGACCTATAGGACTAAATATTCATCATAATGTAGGCATAGAACCCTTTGTTGTCCCGTTTAATAGAACCAGCAATTGAGCAAGCAAGATAGTTCATGCCCACTATAAGAGCCTTCAAGAGAAATTCCCCCATGTCTATAAGCAGAAAATGATAGTTGCATATTCAAAAAATAAGAACTTAAATGATAATATTGTTCATAGTAAACTAAAAACAATCAGTACATAACAGATACTATACTTCTCGCCTAAGTCTCGGCGAATTATTTTTTATAATTTCAGATCAGAATAAGAACAGAAGAAAACCCAATATCAAGAGCCTTAATCCTAATTTCTAAATAAAGTGTCTGCTCCACCCTAGGCCTGTACATTTGGGAGAATCAAACCCTCCCTTCCCCGAAAACTAATAAAAACACCAACTTTGAAATCACCCTATGTATCCACATTATCAAATTGAATTTTTCTAAAGGATGGAGCGTATGAGCAAGGATTGAGCAGTCTGACCTAGTTTTGGTGTATGACTTTGTTATTCATTTATTGCTCAATACTGAAACAAGACTAAAAAGGAGACCTCTTTCTCTACAGTTTGGGGTTTATATTGCTTAAATCTGTACAGTAGTTTTCTTACAACTTTCAGACACCTCAAGTGACCCATTTCTCTACTCTCTGGCCACATCAAGTTAAAATTGAATTTTGGCTATCATTTTTGTATGAATTGAAATATTATTCTCCAAATATGCTGAGAGTCTTAGATTGTCATTGGGTTGATGAAAATGCCAACATTGAAAACAAAATAATTTGAAACTATGATTTTACAGAGGGAGATTTTCAGTTCAAAATGTGTGTCATTTTCATATGAAATTTCTTGGAGAGAAGTGTGTTCATTTCAAGTGCAAAAATTTCAAAACTTATATATTCATGGACCCAAAGGCATTCTAAGACAATTGGTATGCACTTGAAAATCATATTTTGAATATTTGTGACATGAGAGAAAAAATTCAATTTAGAACTCAATGTGGCCAGAGAGTAGATGTTGGTGTGTAGTTTTCACAAATTTGAGAAAAAATATTTTTTGACGAACTAAAAAATATAATCCCCCTTTAAATGATACAATCTTTAATTTTTTAATCAGCTTTTAGCATAGAGTTACTGGGATTTCATGGTCAATATCTTAAATGGTGCCTCATATCATGTCTTTGACGCCTTTTGTTTGAGAAAATTGTTGAAGTGGAAATTTTCAAATAATTAAAGGAATACTAATGGACATAAAATTTTAAGTCTTAAACTTGGATAATAAGAGTATATATTTGCAACAGTTATACTTATAAGGTGCCATTACTAAAGAATACAATCTCTATATAACAAAGTTGGTGTTAACACCAACCAGGTTAACACTAACACCAACACTTACACCTGATTGTAATCATGAAAAACTGCTCTAACAAATGAATATTCCCTTAGAGCAGCCTGATTAGTTTTGTCTATTGTTCTCAATCATCCATTATCAATCTGATCCAAACTTAAGCCTCTACTTAGGTAAAACATTCCATTCTGCAGATCTGGATGAAATATGATCTCTTTCGATAAGGTGCCACAAGGTCCTAAGAGCACAAGATATGAAAATATAATTTGGTTTCAATACAACACAATTATTCTACATTTGATGTCTTACTTTACTTATATTTAATAGTTCATTGATACATATTGAGACCACATTTTCTCAAAGTTTTATCTATAATGCTACCCTTCAATTGTCAGATTTAAATATCATATTAGATTTGTGCATTTTGATTATTCTTTTTTTTGGGTTGAATCTAGACTAAAAAACTGTCAAAACCGTGTAAAACTTTTTGAAAAATATCTTATCAGATAATGTGTGAACAAAACAAAATCAGGAAATAATAGTTCAAAACTGAAAGTGGATGTAACCATTCTAAGAAGGCTATTCATTACAATACCTTACACCTTTTTTAATTACTTCCTTTTTGAAGATTGTTGAAGAAAGAGTCTTAAGAAACTTTCTTATAGAAATACATTTATGTGAGTGTTGACAAGTATTTAAGCTTGTCTTAAAGCATTATTAAGGCTAGGAAAAATATTGGTTCAAGTGGATTTCACAATATACATCAATAATATATCACAATTAGTTTTTGTTAAAATTTTGCCATTTCAGTTTGGCTGAAAAATGTGTGATTTTAACATGGAAATTGATAATGATCAATCAACTCCACAGTTGTCATCCTTTAATGACTCTCTACAAAATGATTTATCAGATGAAGAAAGCACAAATCTACAGAGCATGATTCAGAACCAGAACAGTACACATGAAGAATTAGTTTACCCCCATCCAGAAGCACAACAAGACCAAATGGAGACTGACTTCAAACATATTGATAATCAATATCAAACCAACCAACCAGC